ATACCTAAAGATTATCAGGAGAATTGATTACGATATATTTTTGAAGAGAAATTGAAAGCTGAAGAGGCAGGGGAGATGAGGGGTTGGATGTTTAGTTGGTTTTCTTTAGTCATATTTGTTTTTTTTTTTTTTTTTTTGCGGGTGCTAATAGGATGTTTAAAACTCATACTTATTTCAAATCCACCAGTCAATTATACAGAATCTGATAATCCACAGGCATCAAACCTGACAATCTCTCCCTAAAATTCCCACTAGTAGTTTTCTCTTTAATTCCTCTTTTCTCCAACACTTTATCCAACTCATTTAAAAAAGCCGTTTGCCTTTCTTTATTATCCGCAGTTTTAGTTCTAAAAAGATTTATTAAACTTTCTACTTGCTGACTACTAATAGTCTGTTTGGGAGGCAACTTGGTAGACTCTACCCCTGAACCATCAAAAGCATCCGGATCCAAATTACTATCCACGGGAAGTAAAAAGAACTTCTGTAAAAAATATTTTACAGCATAAGTTTCTGCACTCCCTTTGGCTTTGGCTAAATCAGTATTAGTAGCCATAGTTCAGAAGTAGTAAGTTAGTTTTTCTTCAGAATTGTCAGCATTTATTAGTTCAGCTTTTTTTAGATATTGGACTAATCATTCTTTTTCTAGTCTTTCTTTCACAAGAGGAGTTTCTGGGCTAATCTGATCACTAAAAATCAGCACTAACCTCTGATTAGCTAATCAAGGTTTGATTACTTTTAATAGGTCATATTCTCCCGCGTAAAAATATTTTTGGAATTTATTTTCTCGGGTTTTTTCTAACTGACCTATTTGGGATTGGATTAGTTGGAGTTTTTGGTAGAGGTTGCGAGGAGTGGTTTCTTCCTTTGCTTCTTTTTGCGACAATTGCTCTTTGGGAATGCTCGTTCTTTGGTCTCCGACAACGCTTTGTGTTTCAGAACTTTGTATTTTATCTTTTTTAGGCATAATTAAGCATTAGTCTCTATTTCTTTTTCTTTGTTAACAAGTTTATCCCCCGCACAATCATGGCACTCAGTTTTACTTTCTAAATATCGTTGAGTATACTCAGGGTCTTCATCATGCTTTTCACATTGGCGGAATTTAGAACTTAAAATATACAATTGTCTTTTTAAAAGAGCAATTTGCTGTTCTCTTTCTTGTAACTCTTTATTTAAATCTTGCATAATAAAATTATTTATCCAGGAACTAAGGAACGAAATTAGTTTTGAACCTTTAACTAATTGGGAAGTTTCAATTATCAGGCCGTTAAACGGTCGTTCCTGGATTTTTTTACTCATATTTTATAATTGATGAACTAGGGGGATTGGTTACCCCCTCGACCTACGGAATTTTCTCTCATGTTATTTTCCAATAGTCTTAACGGCATTTTTTAGGAAGACAAAAATATAAACTTCCTGGGATAAATACTAACCCACAAATTCTTTTAAAAGACACGGCACCCCTTTCAAAGGATCAACTATATTCCACACAGTTATCT